AGGAGGAGGAGGAGGAGGAGGAGGAGGGGGAGGACGACGACGACACCTGTGGGAGTCTTTGTGGGACTCAAGGCCTACCTGCTGGCGAAGTCTTTGGTGGTGGCGCAGCAGTTAGCATGCAGTACTGCAGGCTACTTATGCCGGCTGCCGGCTGCTTGCAATATGGCAGTACGAATCTCACCAGGCTCAATGTTGACTCAGCCTTCCATCCTTCCGAGGTGGGTAAAACGAGGACCCAGATTATTGGGGGCAAAAGGCTGACTCTGTAAAACCACTTAGAGAGGGCTCAAAAGCCCTGTGAAGTGGTATATAAGTCTATGTGCTATTGCTCTGAGATTGATTGTTTTCTTGCAGACGTTTCATTACCCAACTAGGTAATATCATCAGTGCTAGAAGGGAGGAGGAGGAGGAGGAGGAGGAGGAGGACGACGACGACAACTGTGGGAGTCTTTGTGAGACTCAAGGCCTACCTGCTGGCAAGGTCGAAAATTCCACGAAAGCTTCCTTTTTCTCCCGTTGCTCCAAAGGCAGCTGCCAGGGCATCTGATGGGGCTTGGCCAAAACTTTGACCTTGTAGGCCATGTTAGGTTTCAAGTTAAAAAACTGATACTTGTAGGTGGCAGCCCGGACGATGTCGAATTCCTCTTCATTGAGGAAGATGACGTGACTGTAGTTGCTGTTCGTTGGCAGCCAGCTGATCTCTGCCGAAATCTGGGTGACATTGTCGACCTTCAGGTGGGAAGGTGCCACAATGACATCTTTCCCAACCAACAGGGTGCACTGAAGTTCGTCTGAGTTCCCCCGGCTGGTTATGCTTTGAACCGATATCCGATAAGTGCAAGTAGCGATGTTCAATTTCTCTATGAGAGCTTTCATTTTGCTCCCCAGGGAGACGCTCATGCGCACTTCCTTGTCGACTAGGACGTTGTAGCTATGGATGGTCCCCCATCCAGGTGGCACGACTGGAGCTTCCCAGCCCACAATGACACTTTTGGCTAATTGTTTGATAAGGGTAATTTTTCTAGGGTAAGGCACAATGTTTTCGCCGATTTCATCAATGTTCACATCCAGAGTCCCTGCACCGTTATTGAGGATGCTGGAGTCTAACTGGACCGGTAAATGGCCTTCTCCTTCGACCAGGTGGCTGCTGTGGTTGAGAACGTTCTGCTCTGGCTCGCTGGCCAAACTGCCAGATGAACGAGACTCATCCTGCACAAAATCCACAAAGTTGGATGGGACCAGACCTCTCTGTCCATCTAGAAGTTCACCTTAGGGAGAAAAAGATATGAAAAAAGGCAGTGGTGGGATTCAATTTTTTTTACTACTGGTTCTGTGGGCGTGGCTTGGTAGGCATGGCAGGGGAAGGATACTGTAAACTCTCCATTTCTCCCCCCCCCCAGCTCCAGGGGAAGGATACTGCAAAATCCCATTCCCTCCTCACTCCAGGGGAAGGATACTGCAAAATCCCCATTCCCTCCCCACTCCAGGGGAAGGATACTGCAAAATCCCCATTCCCTCCCCACTCCAGGGGAAG